TAAGGAAGTTTGGTGGGTGATTTACACAGGTTGTATGGAAATGGCAAATTCGGAGCGGCGCTGCTTCGCGATGCTCCGACATGAACACATCAGCGCTGCGATTTCGCAATAACAACTCTCTCTTCGCTCTCATCGTTTATCGCCGCTCCAACATAAACGTACCCTAACGCATCCATTATGTAGTTTTTTTTCTTTATTAACATAATTAATAATGTTATTATTTATATATGCTTAAGTTTTAATTTAATACTTCGCGCTAAGAAAGCTGAATAATTATAAACCATATTTTAAGCCTTTATCACAATTCGGGCCAAGGCGATAAGCAATCTGTTAATGACAAATTTAATTGATATTCGTTGCAAACAGGGATACACGAGATGAGCCACATTAAACTTGAAAAACGTTCAAGTTAAAACTGATTTTTTCGTTAGTACCGTTTCTAATAATACGTATAGTTCCTCGAAAGATACCAATCTTTACCGCAAGATGTGTTACGAGACAAAAACTTGCTCCACTATCCCGCAGTATTTTGTTAGTCTTTAATAGATTCCATAGATGCATGCTATTTGCTTACAGTATTGAATTTTCCATTTTTGTTTTTCTTTCTGACGACGGAATCAGAGTACTTCGCTAAATGTCCTTCATTTAAATATAGGTTACATCTAGACGTTGCTCTCCTTTCTAATAGCACCGTTGTGTAATATGATTCGAGAAACTGTTGAGTGCACTACGGTATTCGCCACCGATATCTGTTGCAATCTGATCCTTTGGGAACGTGACTCCTCGCGTAGTCCCCTGAGCAGGGAAATCTCCACAGCTACCGCGAGCCCGGGAAGGAGAGCGCCCCCACGTTCCCACTGGCTCCTTGGCAGAACCTTGCAATCTCAGCGGCGTCTTGTTACCACGGCTCCACACTGATTGAAATTGGAAGGCCTAGTGAACGTCAGCGCGATAATGAGGTCTCCTCATGAAATGATGCGTGTCGGAAACTTCTGGATCTAGCGCTTCCTCTCGGAAATGCGATAATAACGAACGTTGGAAGATGGTAATATCTGGTGTTTGATAGCGGGTGAAAGTGGAAGAAAGGTAGGAGACAACGATAATCTTAAAAAGGAAGACGGAGAAATATTTTCCCTTTACGTTTCTTTGGGTAATTTACTGGCAGGACGTAATTTTTCTTTACCATTGTTGACCATAGTGAAAGTTAGGGTACCACCAAGTAACCAAGTAGGATTACAGTTTTTTATTGCAAATCGCTTGTATGGAGAAAGATGCTATTCGCGCTCGTTGTTTTGATACTCGAGCGGGCCCACGAGTCCTTGCTCATCGCTGAATAGCACGCCCCAATGAGAAATTTGGGTTCAACCCGAAATGGCGTTAAGCAATTTTTCTAATTCTGCGATCATATAACCCGAATATTCAGATGTCTTTATTGCAGGTATTGGAACGTTAAGTAGTGGTTTGCATAATATATTGCTCTTAAATTGATTTATTTTAAGAGTGTTTTTGGCTTTTTCTTTGGTTAAACGATTACAATTTACTAGTGTTACATTGATTTATTCATGATACTTTTAACTCTTTACGAGACTTCCGCTTATTCGTCTGGCAGAAGCTAGTTAGATCACACTTGTTTAAGGAACCCGAATCAATTGGGATTCCAATCAAGGAAAACGTTATTTGTTCATTTGGCCAACAAATAAGGCCCGCAAAAAGGCTCAATATAGGCAGGACGAAGTTGCGGACGAGGTAACTAGATTAATAGAGTTCGAGGTGTTGCGTCCATGGGGCAACTGCAGTAAAGTTTGGAAGTAAACAATGCACAAATGTCCGCGGTTAGCGGTACGTTAAGGGATGTCCTAGCTCATGTCAGTCTTTTGGAAAAGTCATTTGAAAATTATTGACCCAAAATTAGAGATATTAATTCCCATTTCTCAACTATAGCAAAGAAATTAAGCATTAAGATAAAATATTACAGTAAAATTTGAACTTATCAATGGAGAAAACAGAAATCGTTTTAATCAAACGGATTTTGATTTCGTAATCGGGTCTACTTAAGAGTACAATAATCGCATTAGCTTCTCACTACAGTGCACCAACGTGTTAACTTATTTCATATAACAAACAACAAATAACAGAATCATTTAATAAAACTATCACATAACGAAAACATGAAAAGAATTTGCCATCCAAACATATTTCTGTTCTTTGGCAAAAATGATACATACAATTTAAAAATAAATTGAACATGAAGTATTGTATTAAGTAATTAAGAATATAAACATACATCAAATCTCTGTTGTTTTGTAGAAGGCATTCGCCCACAATGATTTTGTATGAAGTATCCATTCGTCGTGATATTTCGATAAATACCCCTCTCTGGATTTGGAGGAGAAAAGTGGAGTGAGTGGGTGCCTCGTGCCCGCAGAAGCGCTGGGCTTCCCTGTCGGGCAAGCAGCTCGTTTTGACACGCTTGGCAAAAGGTGACTTCTAATAGGGCTCACATTTACTCTATTCCGCCGTACACATGCGTACGTTCAGAAATATGAAGATGAGTACTGAAAGGTAGGCGGAATAGATACTAGAAATAGGTGTAGTCATTATAAACGTTGCCGGAAACATGGCCAGTGAAAGTGAACATGACAGCTATTTAGTTTATTTATTCACATGCTGTTGTGGGTAGATTGATCCCATTTCTTGAGTTCGTAGTTCAAAGTTGGCACGCCTGTTGAAGGTGTATGGTAAGCCCATTTCTCCCCGCAACTCCCGTACTGGAATATCTAAAAAAATGACATTTGTAAAAGTAGATGCATGGCAGGAATGGTTTGAGACCCCTCTATGAACACAATATATTTCTCTTCAAATAATTTTACGGAATGTTAAATATTAGTTTACATAGGAAATGCACCTTATTTAACGACAAATAGATGCAAAACTGGCGCAGGGATTGTCGTGAATTTGATTTTCAATACGTACATTTAATTTTCAAAACACAATGTTCAGGAATCTTATATTTAAAATAAATTTGAAAAACACGCTTAACATTTTTTTAAAAAGTCATCTTTTTTTCTGTATTTTGTGGATTTTAATATTTATTTTTCTAATAAATTATGATATTATTTTGGGTTGGTTTCTTGATAGTTTCCTGATAGTAGCAGAGGATTCAATACGTTTATTCGTTTTAGTTTCATTAGTAGTAGCAGTTTCAACTAATAAATTTCCATATTTTAAACATCTGATTTGATTAAAATTTAACTACCGAAAGAGTTGAGTAATAGCTTTAATGCAACGTGTGTCTTAATAAAATTTACTTAAATGGAAACTAAGAGTGTATCTTAGAATAAGTTGAAGTTATACTTGCCGAGGATTCATAAGGATAATATGATTTAGGAATTGGAAGATGAGAAAATCCTTGCTTTGTTTCATAAACATTTTTAAGTAATGTAATTTTCTTAGTAATGTATTCTTGACTTGCAATTATAGTGATTAAAAAGGAGAAGGTTGTTCTTTTTCACTTCCCAATAACCTTCATTATAGATGTCTAGTACATTTGGAATTTTATTTTGCACATAAATTTTAACTCATAGTGACTTACATTAAAATTAGAACTTCTACTTTTTCCTGAAATTGTTGAATCAGTTTTTGGAATAATAATTTTCTGTCACTATGATCTACCTTCATTCTGCTTTTTGTGTCTTATTTGTTTTTCTGCCATTTTAGGGAAATATTTGTATACGATTTATTTTACTAATAACGAATAGATTACTTCGTTGAATTAGAAACCAAAGCAAACCACCGGATAAGTACTGCCTAATATCATTTTAATTAATAATTGGAAGCCATTCGCATTGCCTTCAATTCTACAGTCAAATGAGTCTTTCACCATTTTTCAGGAAAACCTTCATTTCATTAACAATATCAAGAAATTACTATAAAATTCGTACACAATAAAATTCAGATCTCTGATGCTTAGGACAGTCAGTAGTTTAAATAAATTAGAAAACTAGCTAGTGCTAGAAAGTGTGTGCCAATATCTATAAACACTAGAATATTGTTATATTATTTGTAATTTATTTAAATTAATAATTGTTCCACCTCCGAAAATAAATGAAATTTACCACTCTTGAAGATCTGTTATTGAATTTTTGAATAAATTTTGATGTATCAGTGTAATTTTTAAAATATTCTTTTACCAAAGGTAATAGTTGAATCATTTTAATAATGGTTTATTATTTGTCGATATTATGTTCTCTTTCCAATAAAAATTAGACTGAAATATTTCACTAAAAAGAGGGAGATAAATAATTAGTGATTGAATTGATAATTGAGAAACATATTCTACAATAATTATCAATTCTAAACAATACATTCTAATTGCTTAGAAGTAAAGATTAATTATTTTTAATGAAAGTCTGTTTAGTTTGATATTTTGAGGAGTTAAATTTAGCTTGACAATGTTTAATCGATTTTGTAAGTGTATTTAAATCTTCATGTCAATTATTACGACCTGAATTTTATAGTACCTTGAATTTTATAGTACGAGTTCGGTTGCATTTTGTTTGTATCAAGTAATTCAATTTTTGAGTTTTTAAATGGCTGTATATATCTGATATTTATAGATACATTACAGACAATAATTATTGCATGTAGGTAAGGAGACGTGTTCACCTGGTTTATTGTCTGTTCGCTCAACCTTTTTCATCTAAATATCAGTAGAATATTTTGTTATATTGATATTTCAAAATTACTTTCTCAAATATTTATCTTATATACACTATTTACATAGCGTCATTAAAAGTAAATTACTTTTTATTAAGAAGCAAATTTTATAGTAAATAAGCTGATATACGCAGGATAGTTTTAAAATGCTTTGAACTATTTAGAACAAATAAATATTTCATTTTGTATGAAAGAAATTATGAAGAGGAAAGGTAGAAAAAATACACGAAGTAATTTACTAATATTTAATTAATGGGCCCTTCATACATTTTACACACATTCATTTATATCTCAGGATCCTTTTCAATACATTCGCGAACAAATTCCTCAATTACTTTTTTAACCCTCCTCCTATAAGATTCATCAATTCTGTAACCATTGGTAACCACTGGAGACCTATCCACATTGGCAAACCTCTCAAACTCTTCAGGATTCTTCAATACGTGGCTAATAAATTGCTCTTTTAACAATATTACTGGGTTGTAATGAATAGATATTAAAATTCCCAGAGTCTTGTATACTCTACATGATTCCTCTAATTCTTTCCACGGGAGGATTTTTTCGGGATTTAGACCGTGAAGACGAAGATTTTGAGACAGATGCGCATGATATATAGCCATCAGTTGCGAACTATACTTGTCCCGAATCTCTTCGTCTGTTGCCAGGTACAAAAAGCACATTATATCGTTGGCAGGTGGCGCATAACGGATTAGTTGGAAGTCCACAAGCCGTACATCTATTGGAGTGTCCCCGTCGTGAAGATATAAAATATTTTCTCGTTTGATGTCGCCATGGCATGCAACGTTACGAAATCTTTCTGAAGGTCTCTGTAACTTAAAAATTAAGTTCATGACGGCTTGTACCTTACTTTTAATTCGACTAGCTCTCTCTTGACTGTAAATTAGGTCAATTAGTGTACATACAGTTTTGATGGTAACATTCACACTAATGATTCCCGGACGTCCGGGTTCGTCTGACATAAATGTCTCTTTTAATATGTCGGAATACTCATCAGTGAGACGATGTGGCTGTGTAGGGTGTCTCTCTTCATAAATGATACTAGCGGAATGAAGGTTCGCTAAAGCTTTCATTGCCAAAGCAAAATGTTCATATACCATGGGATCGTTTAAGTTAAAAGCTCGAAAACCTTTCTTCGACAAGTCATCAAACACCAGGAGATCTGGTCGTGTATAGTAACACTCACATGTCCACTCCATTGATTTGCCATGATCGTTCAGCGCGGATCTAAACTTGCCGAAAATATTAATCACCGCACATACTTCCTTGATGAATGCCTCTGTATCTTCCACGACCGCCAACTGCGGCGGTGACGACACAGGTTTCGTCTTGAGAAAGAAGTGAAGAGTTGTAGATTTGTCATCGTGTATTCGCCGCACTGTGATTTCCGCCAAAGAATGTTCTCCAAGGAAGCCGCCAGAGAAGTGAAGGCGCCTCTCCTTGTAACTTAAGACGTTAAACTCCGATTCGGCCAGATCCAGACGGCGTGCAACCACCTGCACCCTTTCGGCTTCGGAGAGAACAGCGATGTCGCTCATTGCCCACTTGGAGGATACTGAGGAGCGGTAGCCACATATATGAAATACTCGTATAACGTCATTGTGGTAGTTATCTTATCATTGGCTTAGAGGTCAAGTATCGAAGTTATCTGAAGGTCGCGCTCCAAATGACAACTAATCGCTGTTGCTCATTGCAAAGATTACTTCACATAAAGTTCATGTGAATCCTGCAACCCTCTGTTTAGTGAGCTTGAATCACTAACCATTGCTTTGTATATTCATTTATGAGTCAGTCGGTGTTGTCAAAACTGATCTACTTAGTTAAGGACGAGAATACTTTTTCATGTAATATCTATAATTACAACCCAATAGGCAGAGGCGAATTATCATTTTCGCCTCTAGGCACGCGAAAAATTGCCGCCTATTTTATTAAGTTTTTTCCTGGGTTATACGAATTAGTATAATGTATGTTCAAATATTCGATATACATATTTGCCAAACATTTAATGTTTTAATTAATAGTTTATGTTCGGCTGGCCAATATGGCAGAGATCATTAGGACAGTAGAGCCGTAGCGATCTCGGATCAGAATACCGCGGGGTGCGAGTCCTATCTCGGGCATGGGTGTATTTATGTGTCTACATGTGTGTGCCGTCCTTTTATTCCTCACTATCATCATCATCATTATCATCATCATCATCAACAACAAAAACATCTCATAATACATACCCCCAGGGCTAACAAGCTTGGGGGATAAAAATTGGGATTCAGCTAAAATGCTGATTCCTCCCCCTCCCCGGATAAGCACCTTCTGATGCAGGATGCATGCGTGGTGCGAGTTGGTCTATAAGCGAAAAAAAATTATGTATGTTAATTTTTTTCTTCGGGAATCAATTAATTTTTAAATCATTTATTTTTGTGTACAGAACCAACGTAAATCCATCATGATTGTTTTTGTAGTTATGCATATTTATTATTCTACTATTTAACACACAAAAATATAAATAAAATAAGACATGCTCTAAGGAATTATCAAAATTACATGTACCTAAATATGTATAAATTCTAAAATTGATAATATATAAATTATTCATACTTTATTTTTTTCAAATTCAACAGAGACTTATAAGTTCTACGAATTCCGGTCAAGATAACTGGATTCAAAGATTCTTTTTCTGTAATTAAAATTAAACCTTGATTGTGCAACCTCTGAAAATGTAAAAATCGCTTATTTTGACTTATCACAAGACATGTGGTATTATCAGGCTGTTAATAAATTAATTTGCGAGTATTTAATATTTTCGGCCAAAACCTCGTAGAATATGTAAAAAAGAAAAATTGCACGCGACGAAGAAATGGCTCTTTAGGTACAATTTTGCGCACTTTTGCCGCCTCTAAACTTTTGCCGTCGTAGCCACATGCCCCCTGTGATTATGAGTAAATACGCCCATGCTAGTAGGAAACATTCTTTAGGTGTGTCAACAGTTCACTACGAGAAATCCACGTACATTACTTTACAACACATTGATAGATATCATTAAACAATTAAAATCGATTCAGAAGTTGAAATGCCAAATTAAATATTTTCTGCTGTGTAACTGTGTCTATACAATTGGAAATTAAATAAATCATGAAAAACCATCGTGATATTTATTTTAATACTGATATATAAGGCATTAATTACCAAGTATATTGTATAATTCGAGAAGTCCATACTTGCCATATCAGGTATTGTACTCCTTTTGGGTAAATAACTCCATCTCGATCAAGGTTTACATCCAGTTTCCTTTGATCCATTGAGAAAACTGTCAAAGCATTATTTTGCTTCGAAAAATAAATCTTCATAATGAATAAATTTTGTAGAGGTTTTTTCTAGTTGCTGGAGAAAAGGGATGGTGTTTTGTCACCAACACTGTACGTGCCCTGAAGTTCGTTTTGGAATGCAAATATATTTTTATTACTAAGGTGCAAACATTTTTAATTTTCAAAAGTTACCAAAATTAATATTTACATTAATTGTTAAAAAGCGACCTTTAATATTTTTTTATACTTTCTCGCCTACTACTTTCTTACTTTGTAAAGACTTGCGAATGTCTCCACAGTTTTGGAGTTAACTTTTCTATCGGATGAAGCAAAGTACGCTTATGAAAATAGTGTAGCTCCTATTTCCTTGTTGAACTTCATGATTCATACAGTATTGAAGGTGGTCATGTTTTAATAAATAAACTCTATTTTCCAAAGATAACTCTTTAAATAAGGTCGTATATGTGTAGTTTTTGGGTGATTTTGCGTGAAATATAAGAAGTTAAAAAGATACACGAATGGGTGAAAACCGGAACCTAATCAGTAACATTTTATAAATTCTGAGATCTGTTTAATTAAGTCAATATCACTGGAAAGTCGTGGTACTTTGTTTCATCATTAAAACCATGATATTTCAATAGTTCATTAAAACCACGAAAATATATTGCCCCTGGCATGTAGCCTATGTAACATGTTTTTCCTAGAATTTATAAAATGTCACTTATACCGTTCTATTTCACTCATTCATATTTACTTAAAAAACTTTCCTAATTGTTTCGTATTTTTTTGCTGATAGATCAAAATACGCTTATAAAAATAATGCAGGCCCCATTGTAAAATACGTAAAATAGCGCAGGCCCTATTGTCGGTGATCTCTCTGTTTTCAAATTTTGCAAAAACTTAATATTGCCCAACTACAATGTTCATGATGGATTTTTTACTAAATGAAATCTATTCTCAACAACTAAATCTTTAAATAATGAGATGTGCATTTTTTGGAAAATGTATATTTTTCGTGTAATATTTGTTTTAAATTAAGGCAATTAAATAAATAAATAAATTTTCTATAAAACGGCTCGAATTTTTTTTATAGGGACCCGTGACTAAAAAGTTTTGAAATGGATTTTAAAAACAATATGACTTTGTCTTTAGTGTAAAGTAATCAATTTTCTTCTTCTTGTTCTTGTTCTTCTTCTTCTAGTGTAAACTGATTAAACGTTTAGTGGGATTTTCAATCGAAGGTAATTGAAATAGTAATTTGAATTTAAAATTGTTATTTTAATGTTAATTTAAGTACATTTGATTCATGCATGCACAGAGCATAATACATGCATAACCCTCCACACTGAGGTCTCTTAAAATGTACCTACCTTGGATATTGACTGCTATTCCTGCAGATCACTCCCCCCTCCAAACATTTCACAGTACTTGCAAACTCGTACACATATTGAAAATGACTGCACAAGTTGATTAGTACATGACAATATATCCTATTAATTTATAATAATTCAAATACAAATGCCTACATTTATTAATGTAAAAATTTCCTACATTTATTAATAATCAGTAGAAACCTTTTATTCTATAAACAACAAAAAGGCGACACATTGCTGATTTATATTCATGCTCATAATGAGGTGCAAATTTATTTAACAACACTCTGTAAGATTAAAAATAATGCAAATCAGAAGACTTCACGTACCCCGGAGCTAAGAAATAATCTGCAAACAGCACATTAAAAAACAGAATTCACAAAATCATCCAATAGTTCGAAAAGTATTTATGTTCACAAAACTCTTGCGAAAATAATATTTTGTGAAATTAATGTTGTTGAGCAAGACCAAACACTATTAACGATATCCCATTTCACTTACATTATTTTTGATGTGACGGTTTTACTATACATTCTTCAACTAGTTCCTCAATTACTTCGGTTACATACTTTCTGTACAATTCATCAGTCTTATAAGAATGCGTTATTTCAGGTGATCTGTCGCCTTTGAAAAATCTTTCAAAATCTTTCGGTGACTTGAATACATGGCGTAAGTTCTCTTCTTTAATATACGTTACAGGGCTGTACACGGCAGACATTACAATTCCAAGGGTCTTATAAATATCGCATGACTCTTTGAATTCTCCCCAAGGCAATATATCATTTGGCTCCAAACCATAGTTTGATAGATTCATAGCAAACTGATCGTAGTAAGTAGAGATGAGTTCTGAAGCGAATTTTTGTCGAAAGTCTCTATTACTAGAGATATACAAAAAGCACATAACGTCATTAGCAGGGGGAGTGTAGCGCAAAAGTTGAAAGTCGACTATAGACACATCTGTAGACTCACCACCCTCTTGGCGACACAAAATGTTATCTCTTTTAACGTCCCCCTGGCACATGACATTTCGGAAACGAACGGATGGTTTCTGAAAGTCGAACAGAGAGTGTATAGCTTTTTCCAATTCTATTTTCATTCTCAGTAAAGCACCTTTACCACGAATCAACTTGACTAGCAGCCATATTGATTTGATGCTAGCCTCCACGCACAGTGTCCCGGGATGATTCGGAGCATCTATGAAGAAGGATTCGCTTAGCAAATCCGGATATATATTTCCTAGGCGGTATGGCTGGTTCGGTTGCATTTCTTCGAATATGATTGAAGCTGCATGCATGTTAGCTAAGGCCTTCATTGCTAAGCAGTAATATTTATAATCTACTGAATCTCGAATTGTAAATGTACGAAAGCCTTTCTGAGATAAGTCTTCCAGAACGATCACATCGGGCCGAGTGAAGTAACATTGGCATGTCCATATCATGTCGCGTCCACCTTTTTTTAAAACTGATCTCACTTTTTCGAAGAGTTTGTTCCAAATATATACTTCCTTTTTGAAGACGTTGAGCTGCTTCACAATTTCACGTTGGCTTTCGTCGCATTTCGGCTCCGCTTTCAAAAAGAAGCGAAGATTCTCGGAGTGTTTTGAAGTCTGAGAACGAACTGTGACGCTGGCCGTGAAGTGCTCACCAAGATATCCTCCAGTGGTCTGCAGCCTGGACACTTCGCGGCTGACTATTTCGAATTCCTTACTGTGTATGCGATGCTCTACTATTTGATTCCATTCCTTCAGTGAGAGGATCTCTCGGTCATCCATTCTGCTAACGAAGTTGGAGACTGAGGCACGTTGTATCATTCACTTACGTGACTATGCGACTGTTGCACCGTACTCTTATCTCGTAATTTCAC